GGGCAGCCAGAACAGCAGGTCAAGAGGTCACTTCGTCTGCTGGGAGATCCGGCGCAGACACGCGCGATTTTCTGCAGAGCGCCGCGTCGGACAGTTTTTTGAGCAAGCTAGACACACAGTAGTCTCTCCGGTTTGGGGATGGAAAAGGACGCATCATGGAGCAGGCCGAGCGAAGCGGTAAAGAAGCAGGCCAGACGAGGCGAGACGAGTTATGACATCAGTCGACGGCCTCGTTCACAAGCAACAGCACCACCAGCACTACCAGACTACCAGCCTCCCAGAGACCAGCCGCCTGCTACCACCCTAGTCTATTTTTTTCCAGTCAGGCCACGACCTGGAACGGCAGTCAACCCATCTGTCCAGTTGATCAATCCTGCAGGCAAGGAGCCTGCAGTGGCTGCCCTGGGACTCGACTCCCCCCAGCTGTACTTGTGCTTGGCGTCTATCCACTCCCGTCGCAGACTGCCGTCAAATACTATACTAACTACCAGTAGAGTACACACAGACACACTTGCAGCTTGGGATAACACATTGCGCATTGAGCCAGCCACGCCATCAGCCATGCGCCGCATTACCTCTCCTGTCCGTGGCGGCCAGCTGCAAGCTGATACTCCCCCCGCCATACATATAATACATGTCGTGTCCTACCCTACTCCCAGAGAAGCCCAACAGCCCTCGCTATGCTGACATGAAAAAAAGAAAAAAGAAAACAAACCAAAACAAACAAACATCTTCCCTAGTCTCACATGCTGGTTCCTACTCCCAGTGCCAGGTCGCAGGTCCCCCACGAGGCTACATACCCCATTGTCTCGCCCATTACACACCATCACGGCACCTCAGCTGCCCGTCATGCACAAATCACCCTCCTGCACGTCAGACCGCAGAGAACCGCATCCTCGTCATCATCACCATCACTACCACTACCACTGCCACACTACTTGGCCGACACTGCCGCCATCCACTTCTGCTCGTCCTGCTTGTCAAAGTGCAGCAGCATGCCCAGCACCGGGATGAGCTGCTGCTGGTACTTGCGGTCGCGCTGCTCGAGGAACTGCAGCAGTACATTCTTCAGGTACACATAGTCAATCGCCTCTGCAACTGCTCCTCCCGCCCCCTTGTTGGGGTTCGGCGACGCCAGCCGTGACCGCGAAGACTCAATCGAGGATCGCGACGACTGTGCGTGCGAGTCCGACACGCGTGCCTTGACCGCTCGCAATTCGTCAGACATGGTCTGCAACGTGTTAGTGCATCCCACTACCTCATCACATACCCCTCCGCCACTACTCACCTTGCTCGACTTCTGCAGCTTCTCCAGCCGGCTCTGCGTCTCGTCAAACGCCCGTCGCAGCTCTCCCTTCTCCTTCTCCAGTTCGTGTGCCTGCTTCTCGCTCTCGTCCAGTGCATCTCGAAGCTGGCTCATAGTCACTTTGGCCTCGGATGCCTCCTCGCTGGCTTGTGCTGCCCGTTTCTCCAGCTCTTCCATCTTCTTGCGAAGCTCCTTCTCAGATGCCACAAGATCCTCCTTGTCTTCTACAGCACGCGCCTGTGCACGCTCTGCATCTCGCACCTTTTGCTTCAGCTCCTCAAGCTCTCGCGCCCGACGACGGCTGAACGTGCTTGCCTGCTCCTCGGCCCGCTCACGCTCTTCAATCGCAATGTCGAGCCGCTCTTGCATCTCCCGTACCCGCGTGTCCGCCCGTCCCTGCGCATCATTCAGCAGTCTTCGCATCGTCTCAGCTTCGCGACCGCGTTCGCTCAGCAATCGATGCGCATCGGCTAGCTCTTCTTCCAGACTTTCGCTCTTGGCTCGTACCTCCTTCATCTGAGTGCTGATCTCTTGTGTTTGGTCTTGCATGCTGTTCATGAGATCCTGTGCACTCGCATACTGAGCTGACTTGAGTTGAATGTCATCTCGTAGACCAGATACCTCACGCGTGATTTTGGCTACTTCGTCCTCGAGGTCGCGTACCTTGTTGCGAGATGTCTTGAGCTCTTCTTGCGCTTTTGCCAAGTCTTTGGTCAGCTTGTCTCGCGCTTCCACAACGTCCTTGCGCTCTGTTTCCGAGTTTTTGAGATCGCGCTGGATCTTCTTGTTGGTCTCTTCCAGCGCCAACTTCTGACTGATTTCCTGCTTCATCTTGTCGTTGAGTGATTTGATGTCACTCTCCTTGCTCGACAATTGCGACTTGTACTCGGCAATCTCCGAACGGAGGTCTTTCTCGCGGCCCTCTAGCTTGCGGACTTCACCCGTCTTGGTTGCCAGCTCGTCTTTAGTGCTTCGCAGCTCGGCGACTTCTTTGCGCAGAGATGTTAGCTCAGGCTGTGCCTTTTGCAACACCTCTCGCATCTCCGTCAGATCCTTGAAGCGAGATGCAGCAAGCTTCTCCGCAACCGATAGATCTGTTTGCAGTGATTCAGCCCTGGCCTTGAGCTCCGCAAACTCGGCAGTCAGCGCTTCTCGTTCCTGCTGTGACGATTCTTGAGCTGCCTTTCCTGTCTTCAATTCAGCAATCTCGCCTTCAAGCTTGCTGATGTTTTCCTGCAAAGCCGTCTTTTCCGCCTGTAACTCTTTGACCTTGTCTTTGGCCTCGGTATGCTCAAGTCCATAGTCGAGGAGATCCTGTCGCAGTGTATCAATCTCCTCCTGCATATCTTCTTGGTCCTTTGCCTTCTTCTTGAGCAACTCAATCGACGACGTCTTCTCCGAAACTTCATCCTGAAGCTTCTCAATCTCCGCCGTCTTTTCCTCCAGCTCTGACTTGAGCTGTGCCACATTCTTCAGTGCCTCCTCCAGTTGCGACGGCGAAAACTCTGCGTCCCGAGGACTGAGCAGCCCGTCGTTGTCTCCTGCCTCGCTTGGTGTCGCTTCGGGAGTCACGGCTCCAGTTCCCTCCGACCCCTTTGCACCCTTCTTCTTGTTCTTGTTGCGATTCCTCTTCTTGGCAGACGCACTGAGCGGTGCTGCCGGAGAAGGTAGTGCTGGAGATGGGGGCGCCGGTTCTACCTTGATAGATGCTGGCTTGGCATCCGCCTTCTCAAGATTCTTCTTCTCAAGATCGTGCTTAGCCTGCTCGAGTTTAACCAAAGCGCTGTCACGCTTAGATTCCGCCGCCTTCAGCTGTTCGCGCACCTTGTCAAGCAAGCTGCTCATCGTCTCGTTCTTCTTCTCACTCTTTGCATGCTTGTCGCGCAGTTGCGAGAGCTCGTTGTCTAGCTCTTCAATGCGACGCTGCAAAGATTCGACTTGGTCCTCTTCCACAATCTTCTCTCCCTTCTCAGCGTGCAAGTCTTCCAATTCCTTGGTCGTGGCCTCGAGCTTCTTCTTGAGATCACTGATGGTCTTTTCACTCTCACCATGCGACTCCTTGTGCTTTTCGAGCTCCTCTTCTGCGCTAGTGACCTTTGCCTTGAGCTCCTCAATGCTACCATTCAGCTCCTTTTCACGCTCATCCGCCTCGCGCTGCAGGCGCTGATGCGTGTCCTTGAACGTGTTCAGATCATTAGTCGTCGTCTCCAGATTCTGCATAAAGGATTGTGCTGATTCCTGTGCCGTCGAAAGTTCGTTCTTGAGCGACTTGTTTTCCTCTTCGAGCTTCTCCACTTTTGCCTCGGTCTCTTGTAGTTGCGCTTGCACACGAGGTAATTCGCTGTCGTACGAGAAGAAGTCTTCGCCTTCTCCAGTGGTGTCTGTTTGCTTGGGTTCTTTTGATGGCAACGAGGGTGTAGCTGAATCGGTCTGCGTTGTGGAGCTGTCTTGCTCATTCTCCTTGCTTGTTTGCGCATGCGATTTGAGTGTTTCCACCTCTTCAGACGCTTCCTTTGCGCGTTTCTCGGCATCCTCGAGCTTCTTGTTGAGCTCATCACGCTCCCTAGATACACGCTTGAGCTCTTCCATAAGCATGTCGCTTTTGACGTTCAGTTGACCTAAGTATTCCACAAAGGCGCTGGCATCGCTGATAGAAGTAAGAGGAGTGTATTCGCGCAGAGAACTCTCAAACGCCTCGATTGCGCCAACCCTAGCGTGTGCGATGCGGTACGACCGGAGTAACTCTGATTTCCAGGTTAGCTTCGCGTACCTTGTGTGACAAACTTTGCGGTCAAAGAGGGAGCAGGTGGCGGATTTGGAAAGAATAGTGCAGCCAGGAAAGTCTTGAGGGTACATGCGCATGATGTAGGTGCTGGCTGCGTCCCCTGCTCACGATATGTGGCTTGAAAGGAATCAGCGCATTCGGACGAAGGTACCACTCACCAGTGTACTTGGGCTCCAGTTTGTCCAATCTACGGAGCCGCAGCTTGACCTCTGGGGGGATTTCCGGTGGTTGTTCCGGTTTCTCTTGCGCCTCTGCCTCCACCTGCGCCTCCCCTTCTGCGACCTGCGACTCCTCCTTCTTATCGTCGCCGTTCTCGGTCGTGGCATCTGCTGCTGGCGCCTTTTTCTTAGGGCGTGGTGTGGCAGCTCGGCTTAACAGTTCCTCGTCCTCGCCTATGACAAAGTCCGGGTCGAATTCAGAGGGATCGGGGCCCTTTCCAGCGGGCGCGGCTTTGCTGCTGTCGCCATCTTTGGATCGTGCTGTTCGTTTCGAGGGTGATAGATTACGGGAATTAGAGCGCCGTGCTGTAGCCGAATTGGATCGCGAAGATCTGGTCTGCAGGGCGGCTTGCTGGGCGGCTTTCTGGCGGGCCTGTTCCTCCGCAATCGCGTCTATTGCCCCTCGAATGCGCTGTGTCTCAAGTCAGCCTGGCGATGTCATAGCTCTGGGAGTGATGTGGGCACCTGGAACATGATGAAGTTGTTTTACAAAGAAGGATAATAAGACATGCAAGAAAAGACACCAAACAGGCTTGTTAATCGAATGTCGGATGCAGGACCATGGGCGGGCACTAGAGTATCCGGACACGTTCTGGGGTGTCCATTGGGGCTGGGATTCAGGCGATGCGCTAGGATCAGCGTTCGGTAAACTAGCGCCACAGCCAGGGCTGCCCCGAATCCGAACTTTTTCTCCCCCAGCCTGGCCTCCCCCACCACCACCATCACCATCACCACAACAACAATGGCAAACGTGGAGATTGCACTCCCCCTCCCGGTCCTGCCCGAAGGTTGGGCTGGTGAGAAAGACTTCAAGGCCATCGGCCAGTTGAGTGAAGCCAACGACCGCAACATTGAGCCTGTCGGCCCACACTTCTTGGCCTATGCCCGCAGAGTATGTTCAATATCGCCGAGCCACACAACATCAATACTAATTCTCCCATGTAGAAGCGTCACAAGCGCACTTTCTCCGAGGACGACCGCATCCAGGCCCAGGCCAATGTCAAGAGCGTCGAGGAGGAGGATCCCGATGATGTTGACGAGCCTGAGGACCCTCTGATGCTGCAGCGTGAGGCAAAGGACTGGAAGGTGAGAATTGCTAGGGATGTTCCTGGATTACACTATACTAACATGGTATGCAGTCTCAAGATCATTACGCTGTGCTTGGTATAACCCGCTACCGATGGCGCGCAACCGACGACCAGATCAAGCGTGCACACCGCAGGAAGGTGCTCAAGCATCACCCCGACAAGAAGGCAGCCAAGGGCGGCACCGAAGACGACCAATTCTTCAAGTGTATCCAGAAGGCCCACGAAGTCCTGTCCGACCCTGTCAAGAGGAGGCAATTCGACTCTGTCGACGAGGCCGCCGAGGTTGAGCCACCATCGAAGAAGGAGACGCAAAAGGGCAACTTCTACAAACTCTGGGGCAAGGTTTTCGAGGCTGAGGGGCGCTTCTCCAACCAGCAACCGGTACCCAAGCTCGGTAACGAGAACAGCACCAAGGAGGAGGTTGAGCACTTCTACAACTTCTGGTACAACTTTGACAGCTGGAGATCATTCGAATACCTTGATGAGGATGTACCAGACGACAACGAAAACCGCGACCAGAAGCGTCACGTTGAGCGTAAGAACCAGGCCGCCCGTCGCAAGAAGAAGACTGAGGACACTGCCCGTCTGAGGCACTTGGTCGACGACTGCCTTGCTCTCGATGAGCGTATCAAGAAGTTCCGTCAAGCCGAGCACGCACAGAAGAACAAGCGCCGTCTCGAAAAGGAGGCTGCTCAGAAGCGAGAGGCAGAAGAGGCCGAGAAGAGGAAGGCTGAGGAGGCCAAGGCTGCTGCTGAGAAGGAGGCAGCTGAGAAGGCGGCAAAGGCCGACACAAAGAAGGCCAAGGAAGCTGCGAAGAATGCGGCAAAGAAGAACAAGCGTGTGGTGCGTGGTGCAGCCAAGGACGCCAACTACTTCCACGGTGATGGTGAAGCGCCCGCATCCCAAGTCGATGCTGCTCTGGCCGACGTGGACCTCATCATCACCAAGCAGGATCACGAGGAGCTGGCGGCATTGACGAGCAAGCTCAACAACGTCAAGGACGCAGCCAAGATCAAGGAGATCTTCCAGGAAGAGGCCCAGCGCCTGATTGGTGCCTCGAAGCTCAGCCAGGGCGAACTCCGCGCCTTGGCCTAGACTTGTGTGAATGAGGTAACGATAAATATGTAGACTTGAATGATGACACTTTTACTTGTGATTGGTGTGTGTGTTGACTATTCCCGAAGCGTCATTACTAGAATGGGACATTGGTGCATTTGTGTATGTGTACATGTGCTTCTTTTTTTTTCTCATAAAGTTACTAGTATGTCATGGACGTCCGATGCGCCAAACGCGCCAGACGGGTGGATCTCCAATAGGCCAGGGTCTGGAAGGCATGGCGGATGGTTCGACACATCACCAAGCGCTTGCCGTCACTCAGAATAGGCAGCGCATTGACAGCGACTAAGTAGATGCTCTCTTTCCCGCTGCCCACCCTCCTCCACCCGCGACCTACAGCAGACAGACGTCTTCTGCCCGTTACCCACACCATCGCTAGTTATCCCCAACTACCCCGCGAGCTCCCATTCCCCCGCGCCAAGGGCATTCATCCGACGCACAGCAGATCCCGTTGCCAGTGCACGCGCGCATTGCCAGTGGGGTTTTCTGGCGCCGGCAGACCTGCAACACAATTCTTACTGTAGTACTCAACCCTACCTCAAGTGCTCTCGCTGCTTGTCTCTGTAAAATCCACCATGAGTGCTTCGCCAAAGACCAAGGACGGCCGCCATGCTTCCCCAGCGCCGCGCAAGTCTTCAGGTCCCTTTCCACCCAGCCCGCTACAGACTGCCACTGGCGCAAAGCCCGCACTCGAGGAGACACGGCGGCCGTCGACGATTCAGTTTCTGGCGCATAGGAATGCATCATTACCGAGAGGCACACCCAGACCCCGCGAGCGACGTCGGCTATCGTCACCGCCGCCTCCACCGTAAGTACTACCCCAGCGATGCATTTCTCATGGCTATGTTTGCGTGCGCTTTTCCGTTATAACCTCGGCCCTCTGTTCATATGTAAAGAACAACTGCAACCAAGAGCAAGCACGCTTTGCTTGGCTTTGGGGGTTAAACGTCAGACTTGCTTAGTCTCCCAGGCTCAGTCTGCGCAAACCAAAGCTAACCAGCGAGTCCAGCGTCTTCCAGAACCGAGTGTCTTTTGACACGTTTGACAAGCCCGCCGACTTTATAGAAGAGAGCTCCTTCACACTCATCGCCAAACACAAAGACTACGAGTACACGAAGCGCTCGCGGACGTTCCTGTGCGGTTTCGACGAGAACGAGTATTCAGTATATGCCCTTCAGTGGCTCATTAACGAGCTGGTGGACGACGGCGACGAGATAGTATGCCTGCGCGTAGTCGAAAAAGAAGATGCAATAGCCGGAGACCGCAGTGTTGAGTCGGGCCGGTATCGCGTTGAGGCTGAGAACACAATGGCAGATATACAGAGCCGCAATCACGACAACAAGGCTATCAACTTGATATTAGAATTTTCAATAGGCAAGGTCAACAAGGTCATAGACGACATGGTGAGGATGGCATGGTGCATGTGAGGTGTTCGGGCTGACCATAGTGCAGATTAACCTCTACGAGCCCGCGATTCTAGTGGTCGGCACAAGAGGCAAAAGTCTAGGTGGCTTCCAAGGGTTGCTTCCTGGAAGTGTGTCAAAGTATTGTCTGCAGCATTCGCCAGTCCCTGTCATCGTTGTCCGACCAACATCCAAACGCGACAAGGCAAAGAGCAAGCGCACGAACGATCCCGAT